CATGGCGTCTGTGCTTTATCTCAAAAAAAAAAAATAGCATGGCGTCTGTGCTCATGGCTGATAAAAGCAAACTTCTTTTTTTTATTTCGTATTAGACCTCTTGCACCAATGATGTTTGTACTTTGTTTAGGAATATTATCAATTGAAAGCTTCGACATATCTTCATGTGTCTTTTCTACATATTGTTTGGTAATTGTTTCATTATATTCATTGTTCCAAAGGTTTGAGAAGATAATGAATGAGATGTTATGTCACTTGGAGCGCCAACCAAGAAATAAGGAACGTCGAATTGCATGGCTGAGATTTATCGAGCCATGTCTTAATGCTCTTGGTCTTATATTATTGGCTCATTTTAAGCGTATATTCCTGCTGATCTTTCGATGGATGCATGTGGATGATGAGGAAACTGTTCTACTAGTAAGATATCTGGATCCCTTGTTCAATAGAAATCACTTCAGCCTCCTGAAATAAGGTTCTTAAAATTAAGGAGTCCATATCTCCACTTCTGCCTAGTTTGCAAGACGAAATTTCTCTCAGTCCAGTGTCTACACAAAAACTGTTTTTACTCTGGGGAAACAACTCACATTCTTCTGCAGGTTCTTAAACGGCTCCAGACACTTATAAGGTTGACGTGGATAAGAAATTCGCCCTTCTTTACAAGGTAACTCGACTACTGCTGGTTTATCCTTGCTTACTACATTTCCTTTGTCACAGCTTTAATTCCTCACGTCTTTCACTTTAGATTGGTGGATGAACTTGTTGTCCTGTACAAGGAAGCAGCACTGAAAAAGGCTCGCGAAGAAATTAGAACCAACATCCTTCATATATTGCTCTTGCTCCAGCAGTGAGACCATAATCTTGGATAAAATCTTTTTATAAACTTTTCTTTCTGAAAGCCATATATTCTTCGTTTGAATGATTTTGTTCTTGTTTCCCTTAATAGATGCAAAGGCCAACAATTTGAGGCAGCCTGGGATAAGCACCGGGAAGATACAAAGTTGAGTGGTTTGTGCTCCTCTTTATCAGCCAGTAGAGATGTGCATGCCCAGACCCAGAGCAGTTTCACTGAGATTGGTCATCAGAGAGGGTTACAGGCAGAGCTAGTATCCACTCTCTAAACTTCCTTCGAGTACTAATACCTCTTAATTTCAGCCGTTGGATTGAGGTACTTAATACTTTTGTAATGGCTGAGATAGAGAGAAACCCCCCAAATGAAAATACACAACAGCTGTTCCAAAGATTGTTTAGTTGAATTCCGGGTGTTGTAGCTACAGATGGTTGGTAGACGGGATCTGTTGAAGAAGAAAAATATTGTATAGAAGCCAGCAGGAATCTAGTAAACATTGCTAACTTTGACTGCCGTGAGCTGTGGATTGGAGCCACGTGGCAGTGGTGGCCCCTACTACTCCCGTTGGACGGCTTCTAAGATACGTATCTTGTAATCATGACAGTTATTTCTGTTATGTTACCTAGTATGGCTGTTAATTTTGGCGGGCAAATTAATGATGTTACTCAGCCTACTATAAGAATGTCCTTTGTGCAGTGTTTACAGCATATGAGACTTCCTTGATAAAGGTTAATTTTATATACACAATTTATTCCTTAAAATCTTTAATAATTGAAAATTTTCCCATCTTACATGGTAAGAATTGAATTTCTACCTTCAAGAATTCAAACAAAAAAAAAAAATGATAATTTTTAAACAAAAAAATTTATGTTCTAATCATGCACATTACAACTAGTATGAAAATTAAAAGTATACATCTATAAATTAAATAAGAAATGAATAATGGTATCTTCTAATAATCATCTGATAATTGGAAATCAAATTTGCATAAATCGGTTCCTCTTGTTTTCCTTCCAATACACAGAGAATCCAAAGATTCTTATTTGCATAAATGGGTTCCTCATAAACTTGTGTTATCAAAGTTGGGCTTAATTCCATTAAAGCTAAGATGGAAGAATACAAGATTGCAAATTTATGGGTCTTTTTCATTAATTTATCAATATGACAAATGGTAACAACAGAGTGAGTGTGTAGAGACAAATTCTACAGGCTTTTCCTGAAAGAATTAAAAGAAAAAAAGGATAAAAATGATATTCTCTGCAATCCCAAGCTGGGAGTAATAGAGATAAATCAGTCACTTATTGGAGTTTTCTTTTCTATTTCTTGACTAATCCTGCACTTGTTGCTGATACAAATTGGAAACCAGTTTCCAAAGCTTCCAGGGAAAAAAATAGAACCAAAAGGGCAAAATCCAAACCACCTCTGCTACCACATGGTCCAAGCTTGCCCCTCGGTTGCTGCCATCCCTGTGACGAGGAGAAAGTATACCAAGACTCAACTTAATGGTTCCCCAATCTGACTTCTTTCATTTGCTTCGTTTCTTGGCTTCACTGTAAAGGATAACTCCAATGACTGTGAGAGTGTACCCGAGCATTCCAGTAACAGAGACAGGATTTCTAAATATTAGAATTGAGACCACCACTGCCACGGCCCCTTTTGCATTTCCTAGTACCTGGACAGAGTAAAGACACCAATAATCTCTTGAAATTTTAGAGAATTCTTGAATAATATCCTCAAACCCGTTAAACACTTAAGGAAATAAGGAAAAAAGGGAAAGTGACAACAAATAGAAGCCATGAATGCCAGAAACACATTTATCTCAAAACAAAAAAAAAATGAATGCCAGAAACACAGACTCTGGCAGCATCAGGCCTCCAAGACAATAAGCAAAGACATACCGCACGGCACATCCTTTTGTCCAGCTCTTATAGTAAGATTGGAAATTGTCATGGAGGAAGAGGACAAAAAAGAAATCTCTTCAATAAATTTCATCCTCTTGGCTGGGAGCCAGTTGTTCTACTTGACCTCACATCATAAAACTCTCCAACTAGAAGTCTAGAACTAATTGGCATAAAACCCTCCAACCATTATTTTTATGTCCATGGAATTCAGCTTAATTGACATTTATATTTATTTATGCGCGCTAAGGAAAATTACCATAAGATAATGAAAAAAATGGAAAGACTCGCAATTCTGTTCACATAACTTCTATCATATGGTTCCCTTCCAAACAGTAGACTAAAAAACTAACTTTCCAGGCAGTTTAATTCATATAAAAACCGGAAGAGTACAACAGTGCACCATAAAAGAAAATTTAATAGACCACACTGTTGCAAGCTCTACAAAGAAAATTTAATAGACCACACTGTTGCAAGCTCTACACTATCGCCATATGGTCCTACAAATATTGCCCTTCTTTACTGCCATGAACACACCCTCGCAGGAGTAGCATATCCGTCTAATTAAACTTCACGAATACAGTTGAAAATTTAAAGCATCAATAAAGTCAAATACTAGCCATACATTTGAGGTAAAAGAAATAATTAAGGGTTAAATGACTGGACAAGATCTTGATCTCATAAGATTCTGGAAGAACCATCTCATCACAGACTTGAATCCTATCGAGATATCATAGACGAGAATTCAATATATTCTTTTGAGAAACTCTTGGGTAAAGCAAGAATTTTCAAAATAATATGACCAACAGCAAAATAATTTCTCAGCGGATCTCAAACAACCAAAAATACGAACAGAAATAATAAAACCTAATATTTCACCAATCTTGGAAACATATATAAGACAGGCACCAGAAAGACCTTGCCTTCTAATAATCCCAGTACCATAATATCCACCAAAGAATAACCTAAGCCCTAAGAGCATAAATTCCCTTACACTTAATTGCATTAGTTAGAAAGGAATTTCGGATATTGAAAAAAATTACTTAATTTACAGGTTGTAACTACTGGTTTTATATGAATCAATGGCTCAACTAATGCAACAATTACTTAGATACTGATAACCGAGATAGTGGATTAAATAAGTGTATCCAAGAATAAATGGATACAACCAAAACCTTTTTTTGAGAAGGAAAAAGAAGGATGCAGTCAAATACAATAAGTAGTTGCTTTTTCTAAATTCTGGGAATTTCAATTTCAACATACATCAAAGAGATTCATTTATTCCCTAAATTTTAATAATAGTGCAGACACATTGAATTCTTAATGCCGATATATTTTTTTCATAAAACAGGATATGTTTTGTGCCTTCCATTCCTGGGATGAGAACTTTTATTTTACTTATCTATAACCCATACCATACAAAGCATTTGATGGAAAGTACAACATGCATAAATGACATACATACAGCAACCTATATGAAGAAAAAATCAATACCTGAAGAGTCAGAGCACTTGTGTGTTTGGTGACCAAGAAGTTGGTCAAATTTACAAAATATGCAAGCGCTGAGTTGAATAATAGATACCAGATGATCTTGACATCATCTCTTGCAAGAGCAAGTGCAATACCAACGACATTTTCTTCCATAATAAGTGTCGCAGGGAGTAGAAATACAACAGCGATCGGAGCCATGTAAAGGAGGAGGTTCATGGAATTCAGCTTCTCCCTAAAAAAGTAAATTACAAGCTCTTTAATACTCCTTTTCTCACCTCATAATTTTTTTTCACCTCATAATTATCCAAACAACAAAGAAGTACCTTGAGCCATCAACTAGAATAATCATTACTTACCCTTCGGATGAAAGCAAAATCCCTTGCAAAACTGATTTAAGTGCTCTTGCAGCCGTAGCTGCAATGCACATTATGAATCCAAATAGATGGAAGCTTGGTTCACCCTATGGCCACAATAAAAGAAAAACAATACTCAACCCAACAACTGATAAACGGTTTGCAGTCAATGAAATGATGGTTAGACATGATTTGAATTAAAAACAAAAAGTATATCTCTAGGTTCTTAAATCAATTTAAGATGCCTTCAAGAATTTGTGAAACCTCCACAAATCTAAAGCAAAACTGAAAGTGAAACAGCTAACAACTCAATTGACCTGGTTCTTTCCCTCAATAACAGAAAACTCCATTTGCAACAAGGGGATTAGTTGATAATTAATCAAATAATATGAGTTTCTTATCTACAAAGCTAAAAATGAACTTTTCTTTTGAAATTTACTGCTGAATTAATAGTCAATCTTGTACTAAAATGAAATTTCTAAGGTGGATTTGGAAGCCTGTGACATTTACAGCAGCTTCACCAGCTAAACAGACTAAGCAAACAGTCAAATCGAAAGTAGACCCCAACGAAAGAATCTGAACCCAGTATTTGAACCAGTTGCAGCTCCTTAAACAATGGTATGCATGCATATATAGTATACATTTGAATACATACATTTTCCAAATAGATCAAATTAAATCAATGGTTTAGATTTCATAACTCATTTCTCATAACTCTTAATTATTTTCCTATTGCTCTAATTTTCACGAACAATTTTCCTTTCAAATTATCAGTTCAAAGCTCCAACATACTCAATTGGAACAATTAAAAGAAGACCCAACTCCAGAATCAAATCAAAACCCCAAAATTATGAAGCAAAAATTAGAATCTTAAAACCCCAGAGCAATAAAATGCGAGAAAATGAAGCCCACTTACCCCACTGGCGATAATAACTCCGGTGACGACAGGAACAAGGGTGAGGTAAGTCAACCACGCCTCTCTCTTCAATGTCATCAAGTAGGCGAAGACCGCAGTGAAAAAAGGCGTCGTAGCCCCGATCGCCTGGTTGAAGGACACCGGCAAGAAGCGGAGAGAGATGTTGCCGAACACCACCGACACGCAGAACACCAAACTGAGAGCAGAGATCTTAAAGAACTGTACCCGGGATCGAATCGTTTGCATGGGGACCATCTTCATCCATGCTATGGCGATGTAGCTTAGCAGAGAACAAGCCGTCATGTGACACATGGTGAGGAAGATCGGGTACTTGAACCCATAGTTGCTAAGCAAGTACTTGTTCAGCAACAGAACACCAATGTTCGAGGAGTACCATGAAGTTACCAGCCCGATCGTGAAGAATCTGCTGTTTGTTGCCCCCTTCATATTCGCGGATTTCTGGGTATTGGGTAATGGCTATTGGTTGGCTCAACGGGGTCGGGTTTTTTGACAGACAGCAGAACAAAGGGATTGCCTGCGATGGAATTGTACTAAAACGAGGTGGATCTGGGCTGTGCAGATGAATTTTGCAGAGAGATTTCGTGTCGGCGTTCTTCCATGGATCTGTGAGATAGTGATGTCTACAAAAGGCAAGAGTTTTCTGCAAGGAAAAAAAAACAGAGAAAAAAAAGGAGGATTTCAGAGAGAGTTGAAGAAGGAGCTTCCTTGAAGAAGACCGATTAGTAAATGTGAGAGTCCGCAGAATGTACAAGAGAAAAAAGGAGGGAGAGAAGCAGGGAGGGAGATCAGCCGACGACGATGATAAACGCGTTTTTTGTTTTTCTTTTCTTTGGATTATTTATATGTTATATTATTATTTTAATTCATTATTTTATATCTAATATTAAATCATTTTTCTAATTATAATTTAATTATTAAATTTCTAAAATTAATTTAATTATGATATTTTATCTAATTACACAATAAATTTAAAAGAAAATTACGGAATCATATATTTATCTTCTCTGTAATTTAAAATTTGTAAGTAAAATTAATTCTCACAAACTTAAAAAAAAAATTATAATATACTTTTAATAGTTATTTGTTTGAATATTTGTTAATTTCTAATACAATTATATTTTTAAAGTAATTTTTTAATTATGTTTTGTCCTTTATGTTAAAAAAAAAAAAAATCGTTATTTGTACGCTTCTTTTATTTTTAATTTCTTTAACGATATATTTTTTTATGTATTAATTATTGTTTTGAATTTCTTATTAGTAACTTCTTATTTCATTACTGTTGAAACTCGTTACAATAACTAAGTGGAAATTAATTGAATATCTTTTAATTTAGTATAATATTTTTTAATCCATTCCAAGACGTTGAATTGGAATATCTTCAAATAATTCCAAACGTAAGTATAAGTTTCTTAATAAAATAATTGTTACACTCAATTATACTTAAAGTTTATAATAAATTATTACATCCCTATTTATGATTTTGAACTTTTTTTTTTTTTTTTTCTAATTTAATTTTTGTAGGTTTTCAACGTGGTAATTTAGTGTACCCACTATTAGTTTTTAATTTTCATGTTTATTAATTTTTATATTTTTTCTTTAATTTTAATAATTTCGTATAAGATGACAAAAAAAATTAAATCATATAATTTGAATTATCAAAAAATTGACATAACTTGAATTACAATAAAAACTAAAATAAAATAAGTAAAACTTTACTTATCTTAAATTCTATGATAAAAGCAATAATTAAAATTCATCGTGACGTTATTGTATAAACATCAAATTTTTGATATAACTTATGAATTAATATTTATTTATTAATAAATTATTTCAAGAATAAAACAATTATGTGGGAATTAAGAGAGATTGAAATTAATAATTAAAACAACGTTGTTAGAATTTGGGTTTTAAAAATCTGACATTTGATGCGGTCGTAGACAAATACTCCAAACACGTTTAGAAGATTAGAAAATATGTTATTGTTCATATTTCAGTTTTTTTTTTTTTATAATTATAATTTTTTTAAAACCATATAAATTAAAACTTTAATTTTTAATATTTTAAAATTAAGTTTTCTTATTATTTCAAAGTGTAATTAATATCGTACGACAATTTAACTAATTATCTAAAAATAATAGAATTAGAAGCCTAATTTAATAAAAGGTGAATGGCTAGAGGAAAATGCACATGGAAGTGGAGTATGTATTACCTAATTGAATGACGCACTTAAAAGCAAATTTATAATACCTTTTTATTGCCTACTTCTTCAACGTTCACATTTCACAAAACCGTTAAATTAAAATCTAATTCCCACTTTCATTACCAAAAAAAAAAAACAACAACTAATATATATATATATATATATATATGTGTGTGTGTATATTTGAGTTTTGTTTTTGTTCCGTAGTATGGACCAGAGAGAGTGATAAGCAGAGTCAAATAAAGGATGCCTTTACCAGAATCTGTACCTAATTTTGACATTACACAAATACATTATATATGTGCATATATTTTTTTTTATGGGTAATGCTCGTTGAAGAAATATTATATTTGTTCTATTTGAATAGTCTCTAATCTTATTTTAAATATTATAATAATTGAATATAACAATAGAAATGCCTTTCAACCAAAATAGTAATTAATTAAATGTCATGAAGGATTGTACTAAAGGAAAAAAAAAAAAAAAAAAAGTAATAAATCATGTTGACACTGAATTGTAATTTACATGTTTTATGGTTTGGACTTTTCTTAGTTTAACATACATGGGTTTCCAAAATATATATTAATGAGAAAATTACTTCAGACTCCAAAGGAATATTGAGAGTTTCGTAGTAATGGCACCCCATGACCTTCAAATGAATAAATTCAAAGGTTGACTTTGCAATTCATACGGGCTGGGCTGACTTCCGCGAACAAGCAAGATTCCAAGTGATTTGATTTGATTTGATTTTTTTTTTTTTGTTAAAAAATTTTTACATCGGAACCGTTAGTGTTGTGGATAAAGAAAGGCCATATAAAGCCATAATTACAGTGTTGGGTTTCAGGCCCATCATCGCCACCGTGCTCCGTCCGTAACCATCAGCGATGGCGATTCTCTTCCCCACTCCGCTGAACACCCAATTCAAATATTCTCGCCATTCACAGCATGCATACCGAAAGTTCAGAGCTTTTGACAAAAATGTATACATTACAATCCCGAGTAATAATGATGATACTAAGTAGTAAAGTTGATATGTTCTTTGATCATGGTGGTAGGGCTGGTTTACGGATGGCTTTCGGGTTAGGGTTTGACAACAGTGCTAGAGTAGAAGACGATGAAGATGGTGAGGATAGTTTTGTTGCGGGTGCTTCTGTGTGGAAAACTAAGGAGGTGGCGGAGGAAAGGAGGGATAAGAAGAAGGAGATTGGTGCCTAGTTGCTCGGTTTGCCAAGAAAAGGAGGAGGAGAAGACTGTGAGTGTCACTCACTCACTCTCTCTCTCTCTCTCTCTCTCTCTCTTTATTAATATATATATATATATATATATATTTACATATATATTATGGAACTTGATACCCAGTCAATCGGGAAAAGAATCCGATGATAAATAACTTGAATCGAAATCAACCGTAAAAAGAAATATTATTTATGTAGGAAATTATTGTACCCAACCAAAAATCTAAAACAAACAGTCTTAAATCGGTAGATTTCCGATTCACTTAGACAAAGTTGAAAAAAAGAATTAAAATAACTAGTTGCTGCATAATTTTTCTACTTAATTATTGAAACTACTAATATCGACTAATTGCACGATCAAAGATTATGCATGGCAATGCTCCAAGATAGAAACAGCGAACAACGGATTATTGAATTGAGCGAGATAGTGTCTCTGCAAGTCTGATCAGTCTGAGCAATAGCCCTGCAGCAATCCGGTCCAATTGAAATTTGACGTGTGAAGAAAGACGAAGCGATCTGAAAGTAGCAAACGCTCTCCGCACCGAAAGACAGCAAACAGTTAATAGGTTGGGTGGGATCCACCACTACACCAGAAGAGGGTGGTTGTGTTGATCTGTGAGTCGGAGGAGAAGGTGGCGTTGTTGCTCCTCTCTGAGCCGGTGGAACAGCGCCTACAAAAGGAAGCCATGGGAGTCGTATTTCAACCGCATTGACAACTGTGATCTGGGCCTGTGAGAAAATTGCGAGGATGAGAAAAAACAATGCAAGTGCTCCCTTCATGATTGAAATCTCTTGTCGAAAATTCTTTAACTGCTAATGGGATTTGATTTGAAGGTGTGATTGATGGTGGAGGTTGATGAGGTTTATATAGAGTGAAGGAGGTGAGTGCAGTTGAATTTCTAAGACTACTAGAAATTTGTGTAAGAATAAGAAGTGCAGTTGGATTACGTCTTGGAATTGTAATCGGAATCGCATTGCTTTTGGTTTCTAATACTACTAGAAATTTTTTTCCCTTTAAATTTATTGAAAATTTTAAGTAGCCACTTATAATTAAAACAATTAATAATAGTAAAATTAAAACTTTTCCGACGTGATTTTCCTAATTTTAATTGAAATTATTCATATGTGTAAATATATATATATATATATATATATTCTTTTTTCTCGTCAGTGGTATAAGTATAATTTTATACCGAATACCAATATGAATAATTATTTTTCATCTTAAAAGCAAAGCCCAATTACTTACGAACTCTCAAGTATTTCAAGTCATCTGTAACACAAATGTTAAATCTTAATTACAAGTTTTATTTACTTCGACACTTTTAATTTGACTTAAAAAATATATAAATTATAAAAGAATAATAGAAGTTATATTTATATAAAATCTTTAAGTGTATATGTAGTATGTCATTGTAAAATTAATAATAAAAACTGAATTATATCAAATTTATTACAATTGATGAATTTATATTTACATATAATTGTAATTCCAGTTTTATATTTACCTATAATCTGTTTCTTATCAATTTAAAATAATAATTTCATAATCGATGGCAGACACAAGTATTTCATTATTTTATTTATTTTTTAAATAATTTATTTAAATATGTAATCAGACTTCTTCCTTAATTACAAAATTATCCTCTTAAATATAATATAAATTTTAGAGAAACATGGCATAAAATTAATCTACTTTTCAAAGAGGAAATACGTTGAAAATTTCTCAGCAGGCAAAGAGGGAAAAACAATGAATAATGCAATAAAAGATGAATTTCCAGAGTACTCAAAAGAAAGAACCAAGCAGGCATGAAAATGCTTTTAATCAAATTAGTTGATAAGAGTCGACCAATATCCTAAACAAGCAAAAAAATGACTCGGCCAAAGCACACAATATTTAAAAACTAAGTTTATAGAAACAAGTAAGACTGCAGATCCCTTCTGAAGTACAGCATCTACTTTAGTACCTACAAGAACAAAACAGATACAAAAGCTTCAGATTAATTTAGTTAAGTTGAGAAACACAAAACAAGAAGTAGATCTGACAGAATTTTCATCACAAAAGAACAATTATTACAAAACTATCCTAAAAACATGAACAGAAGCTCGTTATTCTTATAACCATCCTTAAAAAAAAAAAAAAAACCAATTATTAGAAAAACTAGTTGCCATCTAATGGTGAATATCATCCTTAGCAAATATGAAATTCCAATAATGAATTGTTAGCCCTAAATCCATTCGCACCATCTTTTACTTAATCCATAGTCCATTTATATGCGCAAAATCATAGAGATGGATCCCTGAACACTCCAGTACTGCTATAATGTTGCCAGAATTACATGATAAGGGTGAATGCAAGGACAAATTTAAACAGAAAACTTAAACCAATTCTTATCACAGTCGTTGTGTAAGATTCAATGACCAGAACATAATTCAAGCGTTGGTATGAAAAAATCTTTAACTAACGGCTCAAGAAAAAAATACAAAATCTTTGAAAGATAGTAAAGCACACCTCATATGTTGCTTGGGTACATGAATACCCTTACTCTATCTCCCTGAAAAAAGAACCAAAAACTTGATTAATACAAAAAACAAGGCACCGGATCTCTATTTCACAAGAGACATAACATGAGATAAATCGTTATACCATTGATTTAGGAGGCAAGTTTGATTTGAACTTGGCACGAACAACCCCGCTGTTACCATGAGGCCTTGCGACCTTGCCCCAAATGCAGCGGTAATGTGTTCCATTCTTCTTCACCTTAGCCTTGTAGATGTAAGCCATGCGCTTCCCCGCATACCAAGCAACCTCCTCCTTGGAATTGACTCCCTCAATCTGGATAAGTGAAGTGTTGGGGTACTGATTTGACTTTGACCTAATAACCAATTAGAAGTTCACATTCAAATTTAAGGCCAAAAAAACCAAATTTTACTGAAAGAAAAACAGGGTTAGCTGAGATGACTAGTGTTCTGTAACATTTCATTATTAGAACTCAACAGATAAAAAATACAAATCAGAGTGCTCTTGAAAATAAATCTTTAAATTCCCTTGCTTGTCCAGCTATGAAATGTTACCATATCAGATAACTTTTAAAAAAGATAGAACGCCCACAATTTCATTAAAGAATCGGCTCAGAAGGTTATTTACATGCTATAACAATTTCAGTCTGTAATTGGTCAACTAAAGAAAATGTTAATGACCGATTCTTCTATTAAAGACGAACCTAACCTCGAATACTTAGCCAAGAGCCTCTAGCTCTATTGGCGTCTGTCCTCATCTAAAATAAAGCCGGCATTTTCCTGAACCTCACTAATTCCCTACCATGGACAAATGGGCAGCCAAAAATCCGCTCAGCTAATATATGATGAGGCAAAATCAGGGGCCAACCACGAGATCAGTAAAAGAATGATAATCTCTCTCCTCCATTACATTTTCTAATCATGCACAAGACGAGAAGCGCGCGGCACTAGCCCCCCAAACCCACAAAACCAGAAGCTAAAACCAATGAAAAATGAAATACTAAACTAAAAGGAGAAAATGACAATAGCCCCCACATTCCAAACAAACACACCAGGAACGTCAAATTAAAAACTTCCAATAAGACAAGTAATTAAAACAGTTTGCTCTAACCAACAACCAAAGTATTTTCTCAGGAACCAAGCACACACTAGAAACTCATCAGAAACATATACACACGAAACTGAAGAAAATTAGAAAATAAGACGGTGGTAACACATGCCCCTTACCTCTTGTACCCGAGGATGGTTCCTCTGACGTAGAGTCTGCAAACATCAAGAAAACAAAAAAAAAAAAGATTTAAGTAACCGAAACCGATATTCAAAATGAGAATGTCTACGTTTCTTAATCAATAAAGAGAGAAAACATTCAGATCAACAGACCTGACTCGCTCTCCTTGGCGTCCCTTCACCATTTCCGCTTTGGTGGCTGAAGATCTTCTTCTTCCTCTAGTTACAGACGCCTACTCGGGAGGAAACTTAAAACCCTAGTTTTAAGTGGCCCTTTATATATAAAGAGCGGGTGGAGTTTATAGACCGGAACTTGGCACTATAATCGCTTAAGGGTTTGTAAATGGTTCGGGTATGAACTATGGGCCCTCCTGCAAACTCTACTATTCAAATGTGGGCTTTGACAAGGAGTAGGCTAAAAAATTATTTTTTAACGATTAAAAATATCATCAAATAACAGTAAATTTTTTTAAATAAAATAATAATTTTTATTTTTAAAGTATTAAAAATATTACTAAGTCAGTTTTGTGCTTCCAGACTAACTTTTTTAATTTTAATATATTTAAAATTTAATTCTCCAAATAATATCCATAAAAATTAAATTCACACGGTGGTATATATTTTATATTCATGATAATACTGTTAAATACAGTCGAATATGTGAAAGAATAATTTACAGTAAATTTTTATATGTTATTTAAAAAAAAAACCAAAATACCATTATTAGCAATTTTCATAGTTATAATTTATGTGCATTTTTATATCATTTATTAAAATTTCAGCCAATAAATACTTTTTAAGACAAAACTCATTATTTATGTGTACTTTTAAGAAGTAAGTAAAAATATATTTACTAAATTTTTTTATTTATTTTTCAAGAATATAAATTTTATGAACTTTTAAAAATTTAATATACTAATAAGTTAATACTATATTTGATATGATTTTAATACCATACTCAAATTTTAATAAATAATTTTTTTTAAAAAAAATAATTTAATTCCCTAATTTTCCTCCAAACGTGAATTAACAGAAGAGAAAATATCTTATAGAGTAAAAAAGAAGAGAAATTTGTAACAAATATATATATATAAATTAAAAAACAAATACAAAATCACAAACAAGGAGTCTACTTCGGCTTATATTTCGCACCCATTTATATACCAAACTGCAAAAGCGAAAAGGCAGAGAGGAAAAAATAATTAAAAAACTAATTTATAATTATAATTATAACGCACCATTAATCCTCCTTCTGCAACCATTGTATGTCTCAATCTTAATTTCTCTCTTCAATGTCATCATCTTCCTCTAAAGAATCCTTATCACGTAATGCAGCACCAACTCGGACATTGCTGAAATTCGTAACCAGGAGACGGATTGGTGAAAATGTAGAGGAAGACAATCTCATACCCATCTCTAAAAATAATAGCACCAACAATAACAACAATAATATTATCACAAGTTTGTATAGGCGAAAGGTGAAGTACTTGCCGGAGCTGTTGCCAATAGCAACGAGACAAGGTGGGCGAAAGATAAAGAGGAGGACAATACTAGGCGGGTTCATGGGGCTGCTGCTGGTATGGACGGTGGTGAAGTTTGCGTTGATCAACACTTTGATGGATTTGCAGACTACAAGAGACTTGCTGCCCATGCGACAGAAAAGGAATTTCATGATGGATGATGTTGAACAAATTATAGGAGTTGATGATGATGATGATGATGATGATAATGATGATAGTTATTATGATCGTGAGCGTAAACATCGACATGACCATGAACGTGACGACGTACTTTATGATGATCATCATAAATTCTGGGGAGAAATGGCAAAACCAGACAAGTTACAGGTTAGATTTTCAATATTAATAACAATGGTGGATTAATTGGGGGACAATGTGTGACTTTAATAATAATTGCATTAGAGGCAATGATAGAAAGAATACCAAATAGTGATGTTGATAATGATGTTAATAATAACAATACTGTAACGAGAATATATGGTGAGTGGTGATAGTAATAATAATAATTGTAGCGATAACAATAATGATAATACTAAATTTGATGTTCGAACGATTGATAATAATGTATAAATTATAATAGTTATTTTAATATAATTGAGGTTCATTAACAATGACTATACCAATAATGACAATAATAAAAATAATAATAACAGTGATAAAAATAATTATAATATTTATTATAATTAATTATACTTAGAAAAAGAAATTAAGCATCCAGAATTAAATAGGGTATAACAAGAGACTCTATCTACTTTTTACTTTGCTCTACTAATAGCACCAAATATAATTTTAATAAATAGTTAAATAAGCTATTATGATATTTTTAATTGATTTCTTATTAAATCAGATTCCTGAAATTTGGAGGAAGCCTGAAAGTAGCAACTACTATAAATGCATCGATCAAACTGAAAAGGGAAAAAGTAAGTGTACGCACCTTGTTTGCCACCAGCAGATACATCCTGTCTCTATACTTATTTGACTTTAGGAATTGGGATTATGTGCTCTGCCAGGAAATGGGAGTGCCACAAATGGGTACCTTATGGTAAATGCCAACGGTGGATTGAATCAAATGAAAACTGGGGTAATTATATATATACACACATCAAAGTTTGTGTACTTCATTTGATTAATTATCATCTGATTGTTACAAGGTTAACCTTAATAATCTGATTATGAATGGAACCCAGATAAGCGATATGGTTGCAATTACAAAAATCATGAATGCTACTCTAATTCTGCCTTCTTTGGATCATGCTTCCTTCTGGACAGACCCAAGGTGAACGTCTTCTTAATCTATACACACATATACCTTTCTGTTTCACACACATGTATACATATATATACGTATGCACGGCCTCATAATGTGTCTGATTTCATGTTTGGCTGGGACGAATTTGATCAGCAACTTCAAAGACATATTTGACTGGAAGAATTTCATTGAAGTTTTGAAAGATGATGTCAACATTGCTGAGTCTCTTCCCCCAAATTTTGCACATATTAAGCCCCTTAACAAAGCCCCAGTTTCCTGGTCTACGGTATGTATATATCTATACATACACACATACCAACATCAACATATGCACATATATATGCATGTACATCTTTGTCTATTTTTGTACAAATCTTAATTGGTATTTCCATTTATTTACATATGCACAGCCTGTTTACTATGCAAGGGATATGGTTCATTTGTTGAAGAAACACGAAGTGCTCAACTTTACCCACACAGATTCGCGCTTGGCAAACAATGGACTCAGTGCTTCTCTACAAAAACTCCGCTGTCAAGCAATGTATGAAGCACTTAAATTCTCGAAAGAGATTGAAGAACTTGCCAAGAAATTGGTTAACAGACTAAAAAACAACAGTGACAAGTACATTGCTCTCCATCTAAGGTATAAAACAACTATGATATATATATATATATATGTATATATAAAGGATAATTTCCATTAAATTAGAATTTAATGTAATTAGATACTCTATTAACTGGAGATATGTCATTGCAGATACGAGAAGGACATGCTTGCTTTTACCGGGTGCAGTCATAACCTAACCAAATATGAGCGCAAGGAACTAAGCAAAATGAGGCGACATGTAAAGCATTGGAAGGAGAAGAAAATCAATGGGACACAAAGGCGAGTTGAAGGACTCTGCCCTATGACCCCAAGAGAGGTTGCTGTGTTTCTTCAGGCAATAGGGTATCCTTCTGATACCAAAATCTACATAGTTGCAGGAGATATTTATGGACAGGAGGGAATTCAAGCACTCAAAGACAAGTTCCCGTATGTGTTTACTCATTCTAATTTAGCAACACTCAAGGAATGGAGCCCTTGAAGCCATGTCAAAACAAACTTGCAGCCTTGGATTATATTGTTGCTGTTGAAAGTGATGTGTTCATTTATAGCTATGAAGGAAACATGGCGAAAGCTGTGCAGGGTCACCGGAGATTTGAAGGTTTTCGAAAAACCATCAGCCCTGACAAGTACGTAAACGTTATCTTGTTCACCAGAAGAATATACACTATCAAGTCAATAGTTTGTTCTGTCTTTATTGTTGGATTTCACCTTAGACATATTTCAGAAATCATTTTAGGCTAAAGGTATGTGTTTTGGTTGTTGCAGACAGAGTTTCGTGGGGCTAATTGACCAACTGGATAGAGATGAAGTTTCCTGGGAAGATTTTGCATCGAAAATTAAGAGCTTACATGCAAATAGGACAGGTGCACCGTACCAGAGGAAACCTGGAGATTCCCCAAAATTCGAGGAAAATTTCTATGCAAATCCATTTCCAGGGTGCATCTGTGAGAAATCCCAGAGGATTGATTGAAAGATTACCTGGAAAGTAGATATATAATGCGATCATAATTTCTTCAGGAGAAAGATAGACTTAACACTGAGCCTCACTCTGTAGATTAGGCAATGCACACCAGCTCAACTTTTCCCAACACGACTGTCTTTGAAGAAATCTTTTCACTAAGCTAAATGACTCTTTGCAGGTTTATACAGTAGGGGTAGAGTTCGTATAGTAAAAACTAGATTTTGTATAGTAAAAAGAAGAAGACCCAAGCGAGCATACTTTTATACATAGAAATATTTTTGGATCATTTAAAATATATATTCAAGAATAAATAAGATCGTAGGAGAATTACAGAAATTGTTGTATAACAGACTGTTACATCTACTCCTGCATATAATTTCTTTTATTCTCTTGGGAAAAATGGAAATAAATCCAACCCAATTATCTGTTCGAAATCAAACAACCTCCTTTGACTATAGAACCACAATCCAGGTCAATTGTTCTGACCAGAGAATACCTTGATTGAAAACCTTTTCTTCCCAAGAGAGTATACAATTAGACAGACTTGGGCTCCGCATCTGGTCTCTAATCCTAAAGAAAGAGAAAATATCACAAACTGGAAGACAGCTCGATATGATCTCAAAATCAGAGCCTGAAGATATAACATCTGTACTATATGCAAGCAACTTTGTTTTTCCTCTTCCTGGTAGTGTTATCGAATCTATGAGGTGATGGTACTTCTTCAGCGAATCAAATTATATGTACTTCAACTATACCAATCAAGAAACAGGATTGAAAAGGTGAGCACAAACAGAAAAAGCAAGAGAAAAGTCCTGCTGCTGCTATTCCGTTGGATAGCTTGGGATATTTCTTTGTTACCAAGCTCTACATTCTTTGTCGCTTCGACTGCCTGCATAGATAGAATTAAAAAAAGGGCATATGAAGACTACAAGCCCAGGTGTAAACAATGACACTGGAACAATGAAATCACCCCATTTGCATGCACTTGTTACCAGTAAAAGTAATGTAAATGATTGCCAACACCTAACTGCACTAGTCGTGTTTATGGTACCAAACAAAACCAGCCCAAGGAAAGTTTTGCAGCCAAAAGAGATGTGTATGTTTCATTGAGTTATTATTTGTGTATCCAATTCCAGGACATCTTCGCATGCAAGGGTTTGCCTGGCACCTCTCAAACTGGAACCAAAGGGACAATCAAGTAGATGCTGAGTTGTTTTTAATTAGAAAAGATCAATTAGATACTCAGTTCTCGAATAATAACTGCATGTGGTTTCCAATCATTTGAACTGAAAATCTCTTCGAAACAAGTAAAATGGCAAAGTGAATTGCAACATAAGATGCAAAGGTCTGCAGCTCATCATAGCTGGATACAGCAGTGCATGTAGCCTATCCCAAACAAAAAACCACTGCCAATAACAGAATAATCATTCATTTTAGGCAAATGTGCGTTTTTCTTAGTATACAAGTTTTATTTCTAGCCTGTAATTTGTCTCCCAGTTTATATTAGATTACTTTTCATAAAAACATGCGAAAAAGAAGTTATCACTTAAATGCTCAGATAGTAAAAATTAAATAAGGCATTGGTAAATTAAGTACCAAAAATCAAAAGTATGAAGACGAAAGAAACTCCTTACCTGATCATAGAGAAGCTCTATTTGTTGGGCTTGTTGTAGAACATGAGTAGACATAAGGTGATTTAGTGCTGACATTTCCACCATCTTAGTTTCAGTTTCTTGAACAGCATCTAGAAGGCTAGTTAACTCTACCTGTAGGAAGTACAGCAGCAAGTGGCTTCAATTCTAGAGGACTCAAATATCAAACAACCCATAATAAAAATATGTACTGAAATTTTTCCTAAATCTCATTATAAAAATTATCTAATAACCTGAAGTGCACGTGTTTCATCATCCAATAGTTGCTGCTGGACTCTAAGTGGTTCTGGCTGAAGCACATCAGGTTCTTTGAGCTCTAAATTGTTGGCTTTGGAGGCATCTGTAGGAATGGGAGTGGTAATACGACTAAGTTTTCTTCTTGGTATTGCTTTACTAATGGCATCCTGGAAGCGGATTGCTCTCAACTGGTCAAATTTTGAAGTGACTGAATGAAGTCTTTCACTTAAAATCAAGACCTGTATACCAGTAAATTGCATGAAGTACAAACTAAACTGATGCAAAAAGAACAGAGAGAAGCGCATACTAAGCATGAATCTCATTAAGAATTAATGATATACAGAAGAAAATCAAAGAAAAGAAAACATAAGATTGCTTATGGCAACAACTGATGAAAAATCTACTTTGACTGCCACAACCAGAGTCGGCAGGTATCTGTCTGTTCTCCCTTTAATCAAAACAAAAAAGCCAGCCGGGCAAAGTACCAATCCTAGAAATGCAAATATCGCCAGGCAAATGTTATAAGACTAAATAAGTCAGGCTATAGGCCCCTCTCTCTCTCACCACATAAAGACACTGCTACAACCCTAAAAACTCAGTCAAGTTATCAAGTGGACCAATTGAAACTTAAAGGAACTCCTTGTGATATCTCCCATCAGCGAAGGCATTACTCCAAGACGAACAAAAAACAGTGCATCATGCTCTGAAATTAAAATTCTAATGGAAAGTTGATTTCTGAGCTAGGAATATCTCAATGCCATCTCCGCTAAGAAAGCGAGAAAAATCCAAATGCCATGCAAAAGCCAAATTCCACATTTTCCCATTACTACATTACAGGCTACATAGACCATATATCTTCAAATCTTTCTGTATGGCCACCAAAAATCTAATTTATTTGAGGTTGAGGGAGTAGAACCACTAAAATTGTGGAGATTTAGCCTTTTAAGATTTATTTCCTTTACCAACCTTTTCTGTCTTCAACAGCCTACAGTATCATAAGGACAGATAAATTGTAGTTCACAATTTTAAATCACATCAGCGACATAACTACATAAAAAGAATAACACTCTCCATGGGCCCACTTTTTCAAGTAACCTGCTTTCTCAAAACATCAGTGACCTAAGAAAATCTAAGTGATTCTAATGTATTGGCTTCTTACTAGCAGTTTAAGAGGTCCAAAAAGTATCTTCTGTTTTCTTGAATTTTCATATTATTTATATATTAAGCTTGCGGTCTAATTCCAATATGAACATTCAAAGACAGTAAAAAAATTATCATTTTGGAAATTTGTCTGATCAAGAGTAACTTCATCAGATAGTTTCAGAGTCCCTATTCATTCTCAAAGCAAGAATAAAATTTTTTTTGGCAGTTGTCAAAAGTGAAAACAAACATGGACAACAACTAGAAAGAAAGAAGAATCTTGTTCTTTCTTTCTGTTTCCCATTATAAGACCAGGTGAGATGGGACATAAACCCAAAATGCTTAATTAAATAGCAATTGGAATTAAATCCTTAAATCAATCAAGAGGATATGCAACCTTTTAAGAGTAAGGTCATATTACCAGTTAATTCAAAAAACAATAGTAGACATAGAGATTCGTTCATACCACTCCATGTTTATGTGCTATAGTATCAGCATTAGAAATATCAGCCTTGATGCCGAGCCAGCCCTTAGAATTTGCTTCTTCACTATGTATGCTGTTTTTGAGCAAATCAATCTGTTCTTTGCACACTTTAATGAATGCTGTAACCTGGAAAAATTCAAGAAAAAGGCCATTGACTCGGTGAGATATAAATATTAAAGCAAACAACTTCTAGTCCCAGTAAATGTTGACTCTAGATGACTAGTGAATCAAGCAAATTGAACACTCAGTCCCTAGCTTCATGCCCTGAGGCTGAGTGGAAATCAGAAACCCATATCATCACCAAAGTTGATAATCAACACAGAAGAATGCAGTCATTAAGACAAGACACAAGATACAATTCTCAATATCACCAGAAAAGCCATGGAAAATTTTGACAGAAACATAAAGCCACCAATTATATTGCATAAAAGAAAACCTAAAGAGCATGAAATTACTCACTTCGTGTTCGATGCTATCTCTTTCCTGCTCTGTAGTACGATGCAAATCCACATAATCCTTCCTATGCTTCAACATAAATTGTTCCAACTCTCCAATGCTTTCGAGCTAAAAGAAAAACTCTTTAAACATTAAAACCAACACAAATGTTTAATAGCAAATCAATATGCTAGATTAATTTCACAGTTCAAATTGCTTTATTTGCCTTCGACAGAAAAAAAAATCCCGAAAATTGTAACCTCGTAAAATTTGAGCAAAAGAAGAATGTTTATCTGCAAGGCTTGCTAGCATACCGTTTTCAACGCTGCGGTCATGAAAGGCGACCTCTGCCGTGGCTTATGAATGATGAAAGATGCCATTAGTGCTGCCAATTTAGACTGCAATAATAACAAATGAACGAAAAAAACAAACCAAAAATTAACAAAATAGCAATTGATTTCACTAAAAAGAGAACTTAAACAAGAAAAATTCAAATAAGAAACCACGGACGAGAGGACAGAGAGAGAGGAAATGTTACCTCGTTATAACCCAAAGATAGAGCATTTTGCCGCACAGAATCTTTGAAATCCTCAGTTCTGTCTTTGAATCTCGACATCATTCCCAGCACTCTTCAAAATTTTAAACGGAGAAAATTACTAGATTGAGAACGAATTCACTTGTTTCCGATCAAATCGCAATAACCTGAAAAAAAATCACTAAGCCGATTGATTTCCTATCACAAGCATAATAACTATGTAAATTACACCATTAGCTACGGAACACTTCGAGAGTTGAAAAACTTAAAAAATATACTTGTAAATCAGATAGAGAACTGTAGCAGTTAACTAAAAGCAGAGATGTATACCGAGATTTCGCGAAGACGAAATTGTAGTCCTTTATCGCTAAAACTAGATGTACTAATAGCTATTACAATAATTCCTGAAAATGCACATGAATTAGAGCCTCAGATTTATAAATCTAATGTACTTTCAGCTCTGAAATTTACCGAGAAGAGAAGAGAAGAGAATACGAGATTGGGAAAATAACCGGAGACCGATTACTCACAAGAGAGGACTGATGGCGCCCCGTCGACGGAGGTTAACCCCGGTGGGAAGCAACAGAGGAGGGGATACAATTCTGGATTATCGGGATTTTTAGGAATATATTGGAATTTGTGAGATTGTTCGAGGGCATTATAGACTTTTTGACTTATAAGCAAGAACTCTCTAATTATGCAAGTTTCAATTGCCGGGTAGTAGAAATAAGGGGCTCCTCTAAAATTGTGATCATGGATGTGTGCTTTAAAGCATAGAGGAAGAAACTGTATTTTTAATACATATTTATAATTAATAGTTAACTAATTAAATCAAATACATAATTGATTGAAAACAAAAAATAAAATTCTGAAATTTATGTTTCAAATTTATTATATCTTTTTCAAAAAAATTTACATAGTTAAAGTATTGCAAAATTAATTCTATCTTTATCTTAAATTTGATAATTATGATTAGAAAGAATTACAGAAACAATATATGTATTATAACTCCCCACTTTTATTCTGTTCTATAAATTTGAAGTTTAAAATGTCTATCCATTATAAGAAAGAAAAGCAGGGTAAGTTATGTATTGCAAATATGGAAGAGCTACAATGAATACAGCATGATCTATATGCTTAAGCTCTTTTCTTTTCTTTCTTTCTTTTCCTGGGAAACAATCTATGCTTTGAGCTATAAGCTAAACTTAACAAAAAGTCGAGAAAAGAACTCTTTAGACATCAGCAAAAATATGGTAAGTTTTGGAATCCACTGCAACAAGTCTCAAAGCTGCTACCGCTGCTGCGGCAGACATGCAACTGAAAAAACAAACGTTAAGCCAATGCTAGAGCTTCGGCAAAGAACTTAGTTTGTTCCTCTTTGCCACTAGATACAAGTGATTTGCCCGAATAAATGAAAGTGGGAATGTGCTTAGAGCCCCGGCGAGGCTCATAAAGTCCCCGAGGAATGGCAGGAGAGCTGAGACGAACGTGTTGAGTGTTAAGTAGCCGCCTCTTTCAAGAACTCTGAATGACAAGTTTTTGAATGCAAAAGCACTTCCTTTAATTCCATACTTGGTCTCCAGATACTCGTATGTTGGACTCGCGAATATCTGCAAGCAGATATAAACTCAGTAGATTAGATGTTTGCAGGCATTGATAAAGGACCATAGGGTGAGACTTGGCATTGAACCAATAAGTAACTAAATAATTTCTCATTGTGCAGTGCAGGTTGCAGGCTGTGCAGTGCAGAGTTCCTCGCTGCAGGTGACAGGCTGTGTAGTGCAGAATTGCAGGCTGTGATTTTGTGCAGTGCAGATTGTAGGTGCACTGCTAATGGTGTTCCCTTGGCTATTTGTTACATGTTCCTTGAAAAAGACCACATAGCCGTTGACGTTCCCGAAACTGCACATCAGATTAGCACCGGGAGTAATTTGTTGTCATTCTAATTTCTCTCTTGGACTTTTTGGTTTTCTTGGTTTCTGCCGTTTTGGTTCTCTTCTGGGTACGTTGAAATTGGTTCCGGGTATTTATTGATTTTTTTTTGGGCATCGTGATTGATTGTTGATGGGTTTTTGTTTTTGTGAAATGGGTTTGTCTGCTTTCAATAGTTTTTGGGGATTTTGTTTGTTTGGTTTGTGGGAATTTCATTGTGAAAAATTGTGTTTGTTTGGTGCTGTAAGATTCTGACAATTTTCTCACCATTTTCTGTTCTTGCTTCTGGATATTCTAATTCATGAAGATCGTCAAGCTACCTGGTTGTTTTTGAGCTCATCTCTTATTTTTCTTCTTCTTGTTCTTGTTCATGTAATTAACAGACACAATGGTTTCAAGCAGCATTTCTCCTCACAAAATCTTTTTTAAAAAGGTCCTTTATGGTTGCTATCTTCGAGAATCTGTCATCTCTACGTGTGAAATTTGTCAGTCTACACTCAAATTGCTGGTGTTGCTTTTTCCCAGAAGTAGCCACACTTTTTAGGAATAATTTTGATTAAAAAAATAAATTCTATTTTTTTAGATTTTTAAAATTTGAAATCTATTAATCTGTTTCACTGAATCAATTTTTAATTATTTCTAAAAATTTTCAATACTGTAATAATCAAAATAAGCAAAGATTTTGTAAAGAATTCTATACATCAATTTTCTGATTTGTTCTAAACATGGTAATTAATTTACTAAATAAATTATTTGTGCAACATTTCGATTTATTATTATTTACATTTTCATAGTGTTGACAGTTCATTAAGAATAAAAATATAAATATACGCTTGGCAAAATAAGCGGCTCTTCTTAAACTGGTGATTAACTGGTAGTTAAATTGAGAGTTTAAACTGTTTATGGATTATAACAAAAGAAAAACAGTGTGAGTCTTGTATTGCAAATATGGAGGAACTATAATGAATACAATATGATCTATGCTTAAGCTCTTTTATTTTCTTTCTTTTCCTGACAAACAATCTATGCTTAGAGCTCTAAGTTAAACTTAACCAAAAGTCAAGAAAAGACCTCTAGACATCAGCAAAAATGTGGTAAGTTTTGGAATCCACTACAATGAGTCTCAAAGCTGCTACTGCTGCCGCGGCAGACATGCAGCTGAAGAAACAAACGTTAAGCCAATGCCACAGCTTCTGCAAAGGACTTAGTTTGTTCTTCTTTGCCACTAGATACATGTGATTTGCCAGAATAAATGTAAGTGGGAACGTGCTTAGAGCTCCAGTGAGGCTCATAAAGTCCCCGAGGAATGGCAGGAGAGCTGAGACAAACGTGTTGAGTGTTAAGTAGCCACCTCTTGCAAGAACTCTGAATGACAAGTTTTTGAATGCAAAAGCACTTCCTTTAATTCCGTACTTGGTGTCCAGATACTCGTATGTTGGACTCGCGAATATCTGCAAGCAAGTATATTCTTGGTAGATTAGGTGTTTGTAGGCATTGATAAAGGACCATAGGGTGAGACTTGGTATGAGACAAGTCACCATGCCTTACAACACAATTTTACAGTTTGATTCACCAAGAGCAGATTTTGGGATTTGTTTTAAATGAATTAAAAGTGAGAACAATAGAAGTCATGATGAAAGTTATATCGACAAGTATGACAGTCTATCAAAAATTGGTGTTGAAGAATAAAGAGAATTACATGCAGTGAAATGACTGACTGAAGGAAGGCACAGATGTTGGCAACAGCCTTCACCCAAACTGGACCATTTACACTGTTGAGCAAATAAGTTGATGTTGAGGATCCGTAAGCCCAGTATCCAATGAAAGTAACAGCATACATGGGTAAAACTCCGACAGTGAATTGAAAGTACAGAGCTTTTAGCATATTGGGGACAACAGGCTGCCTCACTGTTGCCTGTTGCACAGATATTGAAATGTTGTTAGTTTAGGAGACGACAGAAAACAGAATAGCAGAAGTGGAAGGTATAAAGCATGCTCTGCTCTAATTCAAGCAAAACGTCCGATGATAAATGTATACTTCAAAGAGCTAAGGTATTCAGCAACTTGATCCTAATGATTGATCCATAAAGTGCAACAAATTCCATATAGAATCGCAATACAAGCATTTAGAAATCAATGAAAGACAGTAAAGACCATAAGCTCAAATACTTGATTGATCATTTTAAAAGAATGAGCTGGCCGCCGCATGAAAAACTAAAAGGAACTGACAAGTTCTCAGATGATCCGGAAGTTTTGTAGAACCTTTAACAACAAAACGGTTTGCCCCATACTCACATAAACTAGTTTGCCCATGTATGTTTTTAGTAGCAAAATCCCGAAAATCACAGATTTCAGAATGAGTGATTTATGGATCATAAAGGATAATGAATACAGTTCCAAACAATATGCCATACAGGACATGCCTTGCAAGCAGAAAACTCAGGGAATTGACTGCTGATTTACCTGTATCTCTGGAAGCATTCCTGTATTGAATGCAAAAACTAGATTAGCGGATGCCCCAATTATAGTAAAAATTTTGCTTGTTGATGTCCCTGGGATGCTATAATCTCTGCTTGGTGCCTTGATTCCTTCAGAAGCAAGGTAGTTATCAGCACCAATTCAACGCAATCAAATTTAAAACTTTAACCAGCAATTAGTGCAGAATATGAGAAGAACCTATCCAGGTTACCAAAATTAACACAAAGAGCACTATCAAGAAGAGAAACTATTATGGAAATGACTAACACTTGCCTTAAGCTTTTTCAGGGGACATAGATTAGATATGGATTCTGAGACACAAATTTTAGGATCCAAGACCTACAAGGACTATGACTACTGTCACTAATTTGATTGGAGGATCAGTTTCTTTTTTAGTGTATTAATCCTGTGAAATAACAAAAAATCTTATGTGAACAGGACAATCAAAAATAAAACAAAACTTGTCATAATCCCAAATGAGTTATCAAAACTACTTGTGCTTGACAAACTTGAAGGTGCTGACTGCAGGTGAAGGAGCTAGATCAAAATTAAAATTTCATAACCATTAGCTCGAGTGACAGATGCTCTCCATAGTTTTTAAAACAGCCAGTCGAGTCCTGGGAAACTGACATTTTAGGCCAGCCCAAGAACCTAGTCAGTTACTTCTGTTACACAGAAAACATAGAGGCCGTCTTGCTATACGTGCTATTATTTCTATGCCGGGAGCACATCTAATTCGTGAGGGAAAAAAAAACAGTTTCATACACAAAAACATAAGAATTCCCAAATTACAAAACAGTTTCCTTCACTTGCTATATTAGCTACCAACACAAACATCTAGTTTCTTCACAAAAAACAAGTTATAGATCATTGAAGGATGAACTCGAATTAGAAAAGGAAACAAATAAAAGAAAAACTATGAGATAACCGAGCATGAAACTTACCATCTTGGAGTGCAAGCACAAATGCTACAATGATATAGACCAGGCTGAAAACTGTGGAAACTCCAAGCCAGATCCCTAGAGCTGATAAATGGGGAATCCCAATGGCAAACAAGGCACAGACAAAACCAGCAATGGCTATAAAGTACGGGAGCTTCATCGTATGATCATCCCTGAAAAGAACATAGACAGCCTGCAGATAAAGTGCAAAACAAAATAAAACGTTTGAGACAACTTGGAAATATCTGTTAACTTTCTATGATTCACATGAGTAATGTTCCACAGAGACATTAAGCCTATCTTCCTCAATTTGATGTTTACCTTTAGGGCAGAACCAGCCAAGATGATAAAACCAGTATTAATCATAAAAAGATTGATGTACTGCAGTGCCCATGTAAGAGAATAAGCTTTCTTACCTGCATAATATGAATGAATGACAGCCAAGAAAACCAACATCAGGCAAAGTTGGAACAAATAAGCAGTTCCCATATGGATTTTTTAAAAAATCTTGCTTCCTCATACCGTACAAAAATCCGGCAAGATCTCTGTATCTAATGTGCCTCTTGCCCCCAAATTCGTGGAGCTTGGCGACAAGTGTATTTGCATACAATGACACAGCAGTCGCTAAAATCAGACCAACTACACCACCTATCCAACTCAGAGGGACCATGACAGTCCCAGAATATCCCAATACATAAGCACTGTTTATACCAGTTGTGAGGACAAATGCTGCTTGATACCATGTGTCTGAAAATTACAAGAAGAACAACAAGAAGAAGAAATGAGCTCAAAAACAAGCAGGAAACTTGCCGAGCTTGATAAATTAGAATATCCAGAATAAAAAAGAGAAACCAAACAAACACAATTTTCTACAATGAAATTCCCACAAACCAAACAAAGAAAATCCCCAAAAACTACCGAATTCAGACAAACCCAATTCACAAAAACAAAAACCCATCAACAATCAATCAAGATAGCAAAAAAAAAAACCAATCAATACCCAGAACCAATTTGAACGTACCCAGAAGAGAACCAAAACGGAAGAAGTCAAGGAAACCGAAAAGTCCAAGAAAGAAATCAAGATAAGAACAAATTACCGGTGCTAATCTGATGTGCAGTTTCCGGAACGTCAACGGCTACGTGGTTTCCATCATTGGCCTTGTAACTATTAAGCTCGTAGCAGCGGCCACCGTCACCGCCACCAGCTGCCATTTTTAATTCTGGTTTTCCAATCACTTCAAGGAGAGGCACGGTTTCGTCTCTTCCTTGATCTTCGGATATATAACCCGTTATAGCCAGTCTATTCCCACCAGGTTTCCAACTCTGATTCCCCGACCTCAGGTTGGCTTTCCTTTTCCGGGTGGGTCTCTATATTCAATGCTGAATTAAAGGCAAAAATCAATCCATATATCCTAAAAAAATGGGACTACCGCAAATAGAAAAGACGGGAAATTAACACTGCCCATATAAAAAGTCTACCACCCACCACTAATGACAGGAGTTTGCTTTTTTGAGTCAACTTGGTTTTTTTTTGGTTAATTTGAAAGAAGAAAAAAAAAAAAAAGAGTCGTTATGGTTGCTATCTTTGTGAATCTGTCATGTGTGCGTGTGAAATTGTCAGTCCACTCAAATTGCTGGAACTAACCACACTTTTAGGGTTGTTTGTTTTGGCGGGATCTTCTGATCATTTGGGTTGGTTGCTGTTTGGATATTTTTCTTTCCTTTTTATATTTTTTATTAGGTGGGATTTGAATCAGTAATTCTCATCATCATTTATCACCAATATTTTACATTTTATTTGGATTATATATATATATATTTTTTTAAATATATATTTTATTTTATTTTATTAATGTAATAAGTAAATTAAATTAAATATTTAAATATTAAACATAATGGAAGAGCATGCAAACACATCTTATTGGCCACAGTTATAGCATGCATATATTATATCAATTTTGATATAGTAAATGTCATTATATACATATATTTTTTTATAGAGTACGTTGAATTGGAATGTGATCATAAGACAATTTTTTATAATCTCATTCATTGAATCAAAAAATTCATAACGATTTGGTGTTGTTCTTAAAAAGTATTAATTATTATTATTATATCGTGTGGACTGTAAATTAATTATTTTTGTGCGATATATAAATATTGAAATCATGAATTTGAGAGAGTGCTGGTAGTGGAGACCAAAATAAGAAGAGAATCAAATTCCCAAACCACACAATTATATTATGTTAAGAGCAAATTAATGAACTTAAACTTCTCTTATAATTTATTATAAGATAATAAAGATTTACTAAAATGACTTTTTTTTTTTTATCATTAATTGTAAGCGAAATTGAAACAAATATATTTCGTATGTGAAATTTTTTTAAAAAAATTTTCTATGCTGTAATAATTATTAAAATAAGTAAAGATTTTGAAAAGAAAAAGTATAAATCAATATTCTAAACATACATAGGGTAATTAAGAAAGAACAAATTCAAAGAAGAATATACTAGTTCCACTCAAGATAAGTTTGGTTAATTGAAGTAAAAATCCTCAACCACTAGTAACAACTAATTAGAGATTGGAGAATCCTGTTTCTTCTTAGTCAAATGAAGGAATAAAGCTCCAAGCTTTTGACTTTATAAATTATTTAATAATTTAGTTTTACAACTTCAAATCAATACGAAACAACTATAAATTAATAATGTTGATGCACATTGAAACTTGCATATCAATTAGGGTTTTAGAGAAAATATTTTACCGACCACATTTTCTTTAAGTGAAAAATCCATAATCTTTAATACGTTATTAATGATAGATGTAAAAATCTAACCTTCAATAGTTCATAATAGAATATGTCAATGTAAAAAAAAAAAATTCATAACTCATCATTTGAAAGATTTCTCATACCATATTAGTTATATGTGAAAAATCTTCTTACATATTTGGTATAACAAAATTTTGTTCTAAGTCAAAGATTATCTCGTTAGGCTTTATTTTACAAAGGGTAATTTAGAATAGAGGAAACATCTCCTTGCACCTAAAAATATCCTCTCAAACTAATATCAATATAGGATTAATCTGTTCTAATGTAATCCCTCGAATCTTAAAATGGGTGTACCGTTGACACTCAGATTTATTAAGATGATAAATGATGTAGCTACAAAGTTTTCTAAACAAATGAGATATTGTCTTACTAAAATTTTATTGTCCTCTATAACACATCCTATTAAGATAGAAAACAGTTATTTTAACTCGAACTTATACAAAGTTATGAACCTTTTATAAATCCAAATAACTCTCAAGTCAAGGAAATCTGTATAACTCATCATTATATCACATTGTAAGTTTCTCGATACAGATAGCACTAACGATGTCTTCAAAATTGTGAATACTGCTCCCTTCAAATTTTTTTAGTTTTACTTCTCGCTTTAGAATGGTGAACTCTCCTTATAAATAAGAAAACTTCCCATAACTCAAAAACTAACGTGAGTTTATAAAACTTTTATACGCAAATAAATAATTTATCAAAAGATAGGAATTATACATATTTAATAACATGCATAATTCTCTCTCTCTCTCTCTCTCTCTCTCACCCTCTATGCAATGGTAATACAACGATTTAACATTAAAAGACATTTTTAATTCTTGAGTTTCATATAAATGTTCAAGTTCAAGTCACTCATTACAAATAAGATATTCTAGATAGCAATTTAAAGTAAAAGTTTCAAATGCATGAAATTAACATATGAGAGTATGTTCTTAAAATCACCCAGAACAGGAATCTAGACTCTAGCAAAGCCAAAGATACCCCTTACCATCCAATAAAAGAATGATTAAATAATGGTTGTAAATTTCTATATGATTTTAATGTTTAAGTATTGAAGTGGAACTATGATGCCTCTGAAGCGCCATAAAATCATAACTCAAATGATTCTCCAAGCAATTTAGATCACTGTTGCGTTTATGGACTCTTTCATGCTACAAGCTTCATCCTATAAATTTACATAAGTACATGGCTTACAAGAAGAAAAAGCTCAATACTCTATGTATCTAGGGCATGTATCCTTCCTATTGATTCATCAAAATTTGATAAGGTTGTTATATCAAGAGCCATCACAAGGAGAAACATCTCCCTTATCCTTAAAAAGACAGAAGAAACTCAACCTCAAGAGAAAATGAGAGTGGAAAATGAATCAAGACTTAAATAGAGTCTCTATAGAGATTTAAACAAAATCCAACGCAAATTTGTGAAACAACGAGTTACTGATATCAGACTGGAGGCTTACCATCCTATCCATGAAAGCAATTAACTACAATCAGCAACAAATATATTTTCTTTGGTGTTCCAAGGGTTTGCAGAATTGTGAAGTTCCCAGGGTAAATTGACTATGGTAAGCCTAACACCTGTGATGGTAGTTACTGCATGAAGCCTTAGGCTGGCTAACTTGCTAGCATGGGCACCTTCCTTTCTCATGAGGAAAATTGCCCATTAGTTGGGGAAGAATTACCTAAGCTCATGAACTTTCATCTAAATATGCTTGCTTTCAATATGGCTTCAAATTATTTCTAGCTTAGGAAAGTAATATTGAATCCTAGCATGTCCACAGACAATAGCTGCTCGGGGCCAGAGGCCATGGGGCCCCCTCCGGATGAATTGCCAGGGACCTCTACCGAGAGGTTGACTGATACTGGTGGTGGAAGGCATTTATATCCACCAAAAAGGCAATATAGTTGCTCAACAGTAACACAGAGTATGACTGATTCTTTTTTAAAACTACAAAACAGAATTAATACATTATAACCAAGAATGCCATATAAGCATATAGAAATGGAAATACTGCATTATAACCAAGAGCAACATATGAAACGTGCCGTATCCATAAAATGCCAAGTAAACAACATATTGTTCATTACAACTCAGCAACAGAGTGCCAAACAGACAAGATCAGTTAGTCAATAACATCATCACTACCATCAACAGAAACTACAGAACCCTAAATTTACAAAGGGAAAGCACATTTTACTTCATTCTCTGGTCCTTAGATTCTTCACCATCTTTCTCTACAACTATAGAGATCTTTTCATACCTGAAGTCAGCTGGATGCATAGGACCATCCATGGAGAGCACCATGTGTCTACCAACAAAGATTGCCCAAGCAAACAGCAACACGAAGGCCAATAATGCCCCACATCCAGTTGCAAAAATCAACCCACCAAGAATTTTTGAAGGACAAAAGGTCCTCTCTTTTGCTCTTAATTTCTCATCACCTCCAGCTATGTAACTACGAGGATCAACTGGCATTGAATGCATCCAAGTAGGAAATTTTTTCAACCTAAACCTCCAAGAATAAACACTAGTAGTCTGTGATGTCTTGGTACTTGTCGAAACTAAACCCACAAACACGTTTTCATCTCGCCACATTTCTAGCAAATCAGTATTATATGCAAGAAACGGATTAGAAGGCCTAGCTTCACCTAGTTTACTCAGCCTAACTTCTAAGTTTTTGGAGCTTGGATTATAATCAACCCAGGACTTCAGTTTCTCTCCATTGTTAAGCACCAAATTCATTGATGATGCATTCCTAATACTAACAGACACAAGACTACCCACGTTAAGACCAACATGATTCGCATTCAAATCAGCTACTTTTTCATCCTTTTTAGTATCAAATTCAATACCCAGATACTTATTTTCACCCGAAAGCCCAAACGAGCCTTGACCCACAAAATTTGAGGCGAAACTATGAGGGATAAAGACAAGAGTTAGACCATCACCATTACCGGGAGACATCGAGAACGAGAATGCGGTGGAAAACGACGTCGGTTTGGCGAGATTTCCTTTCCCTTCCATGAACTTGAAGGGTTTGTTGTAGCAGAGAAGCCCGGAGCTTTGTGCAAATGGGCGAGTGAGTTGCACGTGAGAGCCACCATTGACGACCTCTGCGTCACCCAGAAGCGCAATTTCAGGATCGAAATCGGGGTTATTGGTTAGGGTTTGATGAGAGAAAGAGGACGCGATTGCTGAAGATACGATCAGGAAATGGAGAATTAGAAGATGGAAAGATGAAATGCATCTCCGAATTGTAAAATTAACCATAATGTTTTGCAATTTTGATGATGGGTTTGTTTGGTTTATGATAATTTGATCCAATAATTTGCAGGAATCACCAATCTTATTTAGAGATTGAGTTGAGAGACAGATGCAGGTAAAGGTAAGAGGAAGCAACTTTTTCAGTTTCTGTTCATTTTTCTTTTTTCTAATTCATTTGTTCTTTTTCCGATGTTTTTTTTTTTTTTTGAGGTTACTCGAACTAAAAAAAGTTCCCTGGATTTCAATTTCATCAATTAATTTAATTTTTTTTCCAATTTGGAAATTTATTAAATCAACATATTTTTTTACTATTCTATATATTTATATATAATTTTAAAATAATATATTAAAATAATTAATAAGTTTAAGCTAACTTTTACTATTATTATATATCATAGTAAATTTTTTCTTGATTTTTCAATTTTATTTCATATTTAATATGTAGCAGCCCCGGTAATTCAAAAAATGGAAATTATATTATAAATATTAAATACGGAAGCGAGATCAAAATTTCAGTTAATATCCCTTACACGAAAACCAAAAACGTATTTAAAGTATAAAAGATTAAACTAACTAGAGAGAACTCGAAATAAACTATGAGTATGACTACAGAGTCTCTAGCATCCCTTCGTCATCCTCCTGCGGAACGGGTTCGGGAAACATGTCTTCCTGATCTGAAATGGTTAAATAAGGAGTGAGCTACACTAGCCCAGTAAGAACATCACGATATCTCACCGTCACGGAGGTAAAGGTGGGTAGAAAAACACAAAAGACCAATGGAGCATGATTTGCAACAAATCCTTTTTATTTATGATAAAACCTTTACCATCCACTTATCTCGGTGGAATTCATGAAACAATATAAGAAAACAATAACATTATCACAAACATGGAATAATATAAGCTGTAAAACATAGCACTTATCACGCCTTTTGTAATTCAATCATTATACAACATATCATTTTCTCATTTACCAGCCTACTAGTATCCATGGGGGTCCATAGGGGTCCCGCTACCCGTTAATCTTTAACATTCATAATCAGTTTCCAGGGCCGTCCCCATACCCCGTCCGGTATGGGCACCAAAACCATAAACCTCAATACCCCGTCCGGTATGAGGGTGAAACGGGCCGTCCCTATACCCCGTCCGGTATGGGCGCCAAAACCATAAACCTCAATACCCCGTTCGGTATGAGGGTGAAACAGGCCATCCCCATACCCCGTCCGCCATGTGAGACCACAATCCCGGTAGGGTTCCCTACGGACCCGGTCCGTCCACCATCTCCCAGGATATCTAGTCAGGCTAACCCCATCATACAATTATCAGTCTACACAATCTTTCATTTTCCTTTTCCTCAATAAGCATCATCAATTCACATTTAAGAAAGCAAATCGTAATTCATGCCAAACAGACAACATACAGTATCAGTTCTTCAGTCTTTCAACCCATAAATAAATAAAACAGTAATATATGCACTCGAAACTATAAAATGAACACATCAAACTTCATAATGCATTTAAAGCTGTAAAACATGTCAAATAACAGTAAATCATAAATCACACTAGACTCGGGCTCCATTAGCAACCTTAAGTAATTTCACACATGCGTTAATTCAAGAAATACCGTTTTATCATTTTGAACTTTAATACCGTGATAGGAAATAGGGTGAGGGGTCCTTACTTGTTTTCGGGATCCAAATACGATTCACAGTGCGCCTACAGGCCGTCCCTAATTTTCCCTAAATTTTTTCCGGGGAACTGAAACACACTAACGGTACCTGCACGTGTTCAAAAAAAAACCCAAATTAGGCCCAGGGCCTCTTTCGGCCCAAATCGCAACTCCGGCACGGTGGCTCCGCCGTGCTCCGGCGACGGCGCTGCCGCTGGCGGCGGCGAGTCGCCTCGGGTTGGCTGTTTTCGGCCGAATTCGGTCACACTCGCATCGGTCCCTGTGAGAAAACAACCCTAGGGCCCTCGGGGGGCCAAAAAATCACGGAAAAACGGAGCTTACCGGCGGCGGCGCTCTCGGGTGCGGCGGCTCTCCGGCGAGGTTCGTGTTTTGGTGATTCGGCTCTGGTCAACCTGTAGAGAAAAGAATGGTGATCACGGTGATATAAAAATTGCATCAAACGGAGGCCGGGAAGGGCCTCGTCGGAGGCAAAAACTGAGAGGGGCGCGGCGGCGCCGCTGGTCTTCGGCCGCGTATTTCGGCCGTTTGGCCGGGATTTTGGCTTCGATTTGGCCATAGGAGGAATCAGCGTGGAAAAACGAGTCGGGAGTATGAAATTTACCTCGATCGGCGGTCGGAAATTTCCCCGGTGCGGCGGCGGGTGGCGGCGGTCGGCCTCTGGTTCGTCTTCTCCGGCGAGCGGCAGGCGGCTAGGGTTTGTGGTCTGGTGTGGGGGTTCTATTTATAACCCCTTGCCCTTTGATCTCAGCCGTCCATTTTGTTTTAATCTGGACCGTCCGTTTTTGATTAAATCTGGGCCGTCCGTGCGATTAAATCTGGGCCGTCCGATCACGCGATTGATCTGGGCCGTCCGATCGCGCCCACGCGGATCTCCAACGTGGCCCGTTCAGGAGCGACGTGGTCTTGCCACGTGGCAGGCCCCGGTTGGCCGGGACTGCTAACTGGGCCTGCTGACGTGGCTTTTTTTTTTCCCCTCGGTCCGGGCGCTACATAATCATTATTATCGATTAAATACAGGATCTGAATTAAATTAGGATCAAAACAAAAATATTTTTTAAAAAATAAAAAACAAATAAACATAAATATTTATTACATATAATTAAAAAATAAAGTTAAGATAAAACTTTAAAATTTAGAAGCTTGAAAATAAATTATCAAAAACTAGAGTTTTATATTAAATTTATGAAAACAATCAATAAATGGATTTTAAAAATATAATATATTGTCTTAAAATTTTTTAAAAATAATATAATACAAACTAAGTGGAGTTTGACCTAAATTAATCAATTTTAATTCTAGCTTGAATGCCAATGGGTATAATCGTTTTTAGTTAAACCCATAAAAATAGTAAGTCAATTTATGAATTTAAGCAAATTACAAATAGATTGGGTGATAAATAAAAAAAAATTAACAACATAATATAAAGAGATAATTAGATGCATTTTTTTACACAAAATATATAACGCCCCGTCCTAAATATGGAAGCACTATTGTAACACGTAAAGTCTCAAACGTGCATCATGCAACGAATTGAAATCATCTTGTCATCAAAATATATAAAATTTATTTTCAGTAAATATAACAGCCCGAACTTCAATGTCAGTAGGTACACACGTTAGTACAACATTGTCAATTAGTAGAATAGATAAATATTAAATATACAGCAGAACTACACTTTAATACATATCCCTTGTGATAGAAAAATTATTCGTTTACAAATAATTGAAGCATCTAAATTAATTTATATTATTAAAATAAAAGCTAATAAAGTTTTCTTCACCATTTTATATTGATCTTGAACTTGTTTCTCATCTTATTTGATCTGGGTGGAGGTAAATTGGGGTAAGCTTCACGAGTTCAGTAAGAAAAATGATTCTATAATAGAGACTTACGTACATCCATTCACATAATATATAAAATATAATAATATTTATAATTAAGAAAATGTTAAGAAAGCATCATAATCAAAATACACAACAAACATTAATAAAAATTTATCTTAATTTTTCTCATTATGTTGTACTCTTATTCCTAAATATTATTTCTGAAATCTTATATTTAATTTAAATCATTCTTTATTCGTAATATTTCTCTACTTTAATATTACATATCCACTCGAATATCACACATACACTCGAAATATTACAATACACTCATAATATCATATCTAAGGTTTTATTGCGCGATGTCATTTATATCGTCATCGAGGAGAGGCAGAAAGGATCTCCCTTGCATGGATAGGACACACAATCTTACATTGGTCACAACAGTTACGTTTGCTAGGTAACCCGCTCACAAATACCTATCCATGTCTGGACTAGATTTCAAACACTATTCATATGCAGGTACATCATACCCGTTGAACTTCAGCCACACACACACCTTCCCCTCCTCGATTTATACTAAACAAGTAGATATTCAGGATCTTTATACTCTACGCTCTTTACAAATCTTTCTCATTTTTAATTTACTTATTCCATACCTAAGATCTCACTATGCATAATAGAATACAAACACACACACACACATACAAATATATGATATCATCATGCACATAAAGGCCATATATTTTAAATCACTTTCTGAATTATCCTGTAGTAGATCACACAACAAGCACATGATCTTCAAATTCCTCACGCAACTGTACCAGATCACACAGCAAGTGTAGTGCACCGTACATTTTCACTAGATCACACAACAAGTGCAATGAACCCAAATTTTACACGTACACACACTAATTATACATTTCACATGCTGTGCACATTGGTTATACATTTCACATGTAATATGTGTACACACATATACTATAATACAGACATGTATCGTCCCTACATGTTTCAAACAAAATATATATTTATATTCACACACACACAATCTCTACCGATACATACAAACACATTCATACTTAAATACATAGACACAATCGTACACAATATACTATATACATATTTATTCACGCATTTATTCTTATCAGTTCTGTTCTCATCAATTCTGTTCTTATCAATTCGTATCTTATTCATTGTATATGTTTGTATATATACACACACATGCATAATAACATATATTTATACACTACATAAACAAAAACAAATACAAATACAAATTAGGTATACTAATTATATTACACATACATTTAAACATTCATGCATAATGCACTATACATATACACATTTACATAAATATATAATTTATATCTCCGTACGGAATACACATCATTCTTACCTATGGTGTGATCGAGAAAGTTTTGAAAATCCTTTCTAACTAGGTCTACAGTCATCTCGGAAATCTGAATACTATTTAGATAATTTTTTTCGTTCA